GCGACAGAAGAGAGAGGTGAGGTGGGGGGGAGGGGGGCAATGGGTTGAATCTGTAATGAACGAGCCAGCACGTTTTGTCAATCCACTGCTGGATGAAGGCCCTCCCCTCCACCACCCCACCGCAGTCCGTGTCGGTCGTGGTAGTTGTTTGACCATGCCTCACCACACACGGTACTGACTCAGCGAGGTAGAGTGCTGGCCAGAGTGTCGTTTGGCCATACTTCACCACGCTGGCTTGGTGGCTATGTATCATCCAGCGTTCACGGTGCGCCGCCTGTCAGTACCCGGTTAGACACCGGGGCGAGCAAATGACCCTCCCGGCTCACCTCCCACCACACTCACCGGCGCCGGTCGCCGAGCGGTTAGGGGTTGCGGAAGTTGCGGCAGTGCTGTTCTGACACAACTCGCCACGGATGTCAGCTTAGGTCTTGGGCGGGCAATCGAACTTGGCCGTGGCTTGGTGCGAGGTGCGGCGCGCTCGCCACGCCGCCGTCGCCGCACCGAGGCTGCCAATGCGCCGCACGGCAGCGCGCGTGCGAGTTGTGGACGGGGAGGTGACGCAGCGGCGGTGGCAGTGATGATGATGAGCGCTAATTGATGAGCGCGGCCATAAACACATTCGAGGAATGAGGCGAGGCGCGCAGAGAGCGACTGACAAAGGCGAGAGTGGGAGGTAGGAGCGTGGGGGGAGAGCGTGGTAGAGAGAGGGAGAGCGTGGGGGAGAGTGAGCGTGGAGAGAGAGAATGGGGGTTTAGTGTTCAGGGCTTCCTCTCACGGACGCTAAGACACGGAACCGTGAGAGAGTCCACTGTGTAAACGGTGTGTGCATGTGAGCGGGGAGCGGTGGCACAGTGGTTAGCGCCACTGACGTTACGAAATTCGGCGACGCGAGTTCGATTCCCGCTCACGATAAAATAACATTGCCGATTATATGAACCGATAATGGGCCTCCCCTAGATTGACTCAACCTGGGGCGGTGTATAAACAACAATTGAAGAAACAAAGGCGGCCGGGCGTGGTGTTGGTCACTGCCCCCTTTGTGTACCGTACCGGCCTTATTAGGTGCTCGCAAACAGCACTTGCCCCAGCAGCCTGTATGGATTTATGTGGAATCTCTGTATTTGTGTTTTTGATGAGTGACATCTGAACTGGATCTGGGCCTCGCCTAGGTCAATCGGACATCTGTGAAAAAGAGCTTTATAGTTAATCGGATTCAACCGATATAGATAAATATTCTGATTCTGATTCAATTCAGCCTTTAATGAGTGCAGGGGGGGTTGGGCACGATTATGGCAGCACTGGTTCAACGCGAGCGCGAACTCCGGTACCGGTTTCCACATTCAGTGTCCCATCGGCCGGGAGTCACGCGTACTTGAACCAAAGCTGGCGAACTTCCAGAGGTGCGTGAGAGAAAGGTGTGGGGGGGGGGGGGGGGCTAGAGATGGAGAGGGAGGGGTGAGGGAGACGGAGTATGTAATGGAGTATCGATCTTTTATTTTAGATGGGGGGGGCGGTCCTTGCCCCTTTCTCGGGGTTCCCGGTAAAGGGTCACGGGGAGCCATCGAGTGATGATGGCTGTTTGCATGGCTGGCATGAGGACGGCTCTAGATTTCAAGCTTTCGTGACTGCAAGGATCCATACTCTTTGGTTCTATTGGGTAAAGTCACGTAGGTAAAAAATAAAATAACAAAAATCACGACGTTTTGGCCACAACACAAGCGGCCTTCATCAGGTGAAGGGACGAGACTCTCAGCGCTGTCCTCCAGACAGTCTCGTCCCTTCACCTGATGAAGGCCGCTTGTGTTGTGGCCGAAACGTCGTGATTTTTGTTATTTATTTTTTTACCTACGTGACTTTACCCAATAGAACCATAGAGTATGAGGACGGCTGCTGAGATTTGGTTTGAGAGAGAGAAAAAAAAAACTAAATATCATTACTCCACCCCTAATTAAACCGATTAAACGGAAATTTAACGGTAACGCGTTTGCAATGATTTGTGATGATTATCACTTCCGGTCGCAGAACATCGCGACTCGCGCCGTCTCCAGGGTCACGGGGGTCAAAAATCTCGGTGGCCCGATGATCCGCTTGGTCCATCGTTGTCGTCATCATCAGCGGCACCATCATCGTCATGTATCCAGGATCGATGAAATACAAATAAAATATTTCAACAACAAAAAAACGTGGCAAGGCAACGGCCGATGTACTCTGCGCAAGACTGATCCCGCTGTGGAAGGGGGTCGGCAATCCCGCGGCTCTTCAAAGACTGCCGCTTCGTGACCTTTGTTTTATTTCGGGACCACCGTCTCGTATTCACCACCACGGTGCGTTTGTGGCTTTTGAGATATTGAATTTTGTCCCGAAATATGAAACGAAAATGGCTCTTCTTGTTACTTTGGTTTGCACCCACCCCGCGCCATGAGAATGTGGAATTTCCACCGCTGGTTGGGAAGAATCATTTTAGTTTTTTTTAATTTGAGTGATTGTCAAATATTGTCTCCAGAAAAACAAACAAAGACAGTGGGCGTTAGTGAGCAAATCTCAGCGCTGCGCCCTCGATCTTTATCGACTGCCAGCGTAGCCAAGCAAACCTACGCACGGACGGCAGCTAAAACCGCCGTGGCTCACCTCATGCCGACCATTAACCCTATAACCATAATAATAAGAACAATATTAAACAACAACAAAACTGCAAGCACCAAGTCAAGCTCCTTCTTGTGGTGATTGAGCCGTGACATTTCACCGCCATGGCTTTGACAAGCCCAGCGGCGTCGTGGCGTCATTATCGTCGGCTCAGGGAGGGGGGCAGCAATCGGTCACGTGGGGCCCCAGTATTGTGATTTGTCTCGCACGGTCGCACCTGGAGGCTCACAGCTATCGCGCGCTCCTCTTGCCGAATCCACGTCGTGGTCGTTACGCTCACGGTCTCCAACATTCAACGCTGTCGGTGTAGGGGCGCTCCATCGTCGCAAAATTCAGCCGCTACAGTTCCCGTAGTTACCTCTTCGCAGCATTGCATTGCCGCTCTAATTACATTAAAATAAACTTGAAACGTAAATGAGTTCATTTTCATTTTTTTACATTTTTTATCGCGTTTTAAATGAGTGTTTGTCCTTTAACACCGTTGTTGAAAACGTGGTGGATGTCAAGGGGAGCCCCAACCCGTCGCTTTGGGCACCAGCATGGTGAGGGCTGGACAAGTCACAGCCACGCTGCTTGATTTGAAAGCTGCCAAGCATGCGCGGTCGAATCTTTGTCTATTCTGGCCCCGCATGCCTGGCACTCCCTCCTGACCATTGTAATTAGAGTGCAGTATGGATCTCGCAATTCCCACGCACGGTAAGTCTATCATCGTTCTAATCAGCCTTTGGGTCAAATCCACTGCTGCTGGATATGAAGGCTCCCGAAGCCGTCGCCGCCTCCTCGACGATCCTGCGATGGAATTACAATCCAGCCGGGTCACCTGAATTACAATCCAGCCGGGTCACCTGAATTACAATCCAGCCGGGTCACCTGAATTACAATCCAGCCGGGTCACCTGAATTACAATCCAGCCGGGTCACCTGAATTACAATCCAGCCGGGTCACCTGAATTACAATCCAGCCGGGTCACCTGAATTACAATCCAGCCGGGTCACCTGAATTACAATCCAGCCGGGTCACCTGCACGGCTTGCATCGCGACAAAACCTCCTGGGCGAAACGACTCGTGCCGCTACGTCGCCTTCTCGCCGCGGGTCTTAAACGGAACCAGACTCGACGCCCTCCTGGACGCCTTCCCCTTCATTATCTTGCATGAATACAAAAGTACGGACGGTGGCAAAAGAGCGACGCATCCCTTCCAACATCGCCCCCTCCCCCGCTCTCCCCACACTCCCCCAAAACCAACGTTGCCCCTCGCACGAGAACACGACCCGTGGCCGCTGGGAGCTGTCAACTCCCCAAGTGAGCCTTTGTCTCCTCTCAACGGCTGCTCCCAATGCCCCCCACCCCTCATCTCCCCCACTAACCCCCCCTCCACCCCCACATCCTCCACCCACCCCCACTCCCCCCCTCTCCTCCCGCCGCTCTGAGTCTCGGCTTCTATTTCCATTCATAACCTCTGCTCTGACCCGAGCGCTCCTATCCCCTTCTCCTGTTTCACATTTCCCCTTTCCCTCCTCTTCCTCCTGGCATTGCTCTCTTACCTCCTCCCTCCTCCCCGCTCCCTACACTTCCTCACCCCCCCCCCCCCTGCACCCCCCCCCCCCCCCACCTCCCCATCGTCGTTCCCCGTCCCTACCCTCGCTCCTCTTCGCTGCGAGCAGCGATAGCAGTAGCTTAGCGACGCAGGTCGAAGGTCGGGCAGACTCATTCACAGCGGTGTGCAGGCAAGAAAACCAGCAGACAGACATACAGACCCATAGACTCTGGTAAACTAAGACTCTCCTGGTCTCTTCTTGAGTTCTTCTCCCCCCCCCCCCACCCCGATAAATCTTAATCAGCTAACCTTAATATACACACATACAGGACGCCAAATCACTCCAGATTTTCCGGAACCCCTGCTGCTAAGTCTGGCCACAAATGATAGCTTAATGAAGTGACTGATCATCGTGTGGACATTTATAGCAGCCGAATACTCTAAACGCATGCTCATTCTAAATGTGGAGGGGGAAAAAACCGGAGGACCCGGAGAAAAATCCACGCGACCACGGGGAGAGAGAGACACCGCAAACTCCATATATACAGCAGCAGGCGTCAGGGGCGGGATCGAACCCGCGAACCTCCTGTATACCGAGCGAGGTGGTTAACATCTCCTAGCCACCGTGATGATGATGAGAGGGAGACACCGCAAACTCCAAATATACAGCAGCAGGCGTCAGGGGCGGGATCGAACCCGCGACCTCCTGTATACCAGGCGAGGTAGTTAACATCCAGCCACCGTGACTCTTAAGATGTTCAGTTTCGCCTTAACATTGACCCCCCCTTCCCCCCACCGCCTCCTCCCCCCCCAGCCCTCACACTCGCCTGCGCTTCCATCACATCGGAAGCTCAGCGATCTCGTGGCTCGTGGTTCATTTTCATCGAATTACGGACGACAGCTGCGCTCCCAACACCACCACCACCACCCCGAGCAGCACTCTCCCTGGCAGAGCGAGAGAGAGGGGGAGGGGTGGGCGGGAGGAGGGGGTGGCAACAACCGGGGGGAGAGAGGGAGGGGAGAGAGGGAGGCGGGAAAGTGGAGATCAGAGAGGGACAGCGGGGAGCGAGAGAGGAGTGTGATCGAGAATAGAGAGAGACGAGAGTTGAGAGTGGTATGTATGTTGAACTTCTTTCGCACCGTACGTAGCCAACCGTGCTAATCGGAGGTGCAGGATAGATGATATAGAACGGAGAGAGACAACTGTGAGAGACAGGGGAGACAGAGGAGAGCAGCGCGTGAAATCTTTCGTGAAATCTTTCATTTAAAAAGAGGCGGGGGGGCACATAAAGCAAAGCATTGCAACAAAAAAACCGAAATGATGAACGAAGCAAAGTGCCGACTACACTGAGCATCTTCTTGTTTCCTCTGATCGTAAAAAAACACAAGAGAGAGGAGAGCGGTAGACGGTGATGGAAACGAGGTTGAGCGAGCGAGAGAGAGAGAGAGATTACGAGGCTAGTAGAGGTCACATCTACGTAGTTAAGGTCACGTGGCTAGGTGGGGTGGTGGTCGAGACGAAGAACGGAGCGGTCGCCAAAGGTTGAGGCGGTCACCGTGGAAGAGAGTCGTGGTGAATTCTTGAGTCGCGAGAGATCGCGAGCAAAGGAGACGTGTTACAGAGGAACCTCATTCAGCAGTGGATAGATCACGGATCATGAAGATTCATGATTGTTTAATGTTTGCAACTTGGGAAATCCTACAGGTCTTCCTGCTCGAGATGCGCGTCAGCCCGGCACTCCGTGGTAACGCAAGCTGCGCTCTAAACCCGTAAGTTCGTGAGTTTGATTCCAGCCCATGGCTAAAGTCAGTGGTGGCGAGTGATGTCTGAACCACTCGTGGATACCCCCCCCCCCCCCCACGCCTTTACCAACCTGCAATGACCAGCATGGTGAAGTATGGACTGACAACTCCACCCCCCCACCCCACAACCGAGACGGGTTTGGAAGGCATTCGTTCAGAAAAGTGGATGTGAAAATGAGATCCGTGATGTTTGTTTGACGCGTAGTAGTAATGACCAATATCATTCATAGTAGTAGTAATGACCAATATCATTCATAACAGTAGTAGTAGTGACCAATGTCATTCATAATAGTAGTAATGACCAATATCATTCATAATAGTAGTAGTAATGACCCATATCATTCATACTAGTAGTAGTAATGACCAATATTCATAATAGTAGTAGTAATGACCAATATCATTCATAATAGTAGTAGTAATGACCAATATTCATAATAATAGTAGTAATGACCAATATCATTCATAATAGTAGTAGTAGTAATGACCAATATCATTCATAATAGTCGTAGTAATGACCAATATCATTCATAATAGTAGAAGTAATGACCAATATTCATAATAGTAGTAGTAATGACCAATATTCATAATAGTAGTAGTAATGACCAATATTCATAATAGTAGTAGTAATGACCAATATTCATAATAGTAGTAGTAATGACCAATATTCATAATAGTAGTAGTAATGACCAATATTCATAATAATAGTAGTAATGACCAATATCATTCATAATAATAGTAGTAGTAATGACCAATATTCACAATAGTAGTAGTAATGACCAATATCATTCATAATAGTAGTAGTAATGACCAATATTCATAATAGTAGTAGTAGTAATGACCAATATCATTCATAATAATAGTAGTAGTAATGACCAATATTCACAATAGTAGTAGTAATGACCAATATCATTCATAATAGTAGTAGTAGTAATGACCAATATCATTCATAGTAGTAGTAGTAATGACCAATATCATTCATAATAATAGTAGTAGTAATGACCAATATTCATAATAGTAGTAGTAATGACCAATATCATTCATAATAGTAGTAGTAGTAATAATGACCAATATCATTCATAATAGTAGTAGTAGTAATAATGACCAATGTCATTCATAATAGTAGTAGTAGTAATGACCAATATTCATAATAGTCGTAGTAATGACCAATATTCATAATAGTCGTAGTAATGACCAATATTCATAATAGTAGTAGTAATGACCAATATCATTCATAATAATAGTAGTAGTAATGACCAATATTCATAATAGTAGTAGTAGTAAGGACCAATATCATTCATAATAATAGTAGTAGTAATGACCAATATTCATAATAGTAGTAGTAGTAATGACCAATATCATTCATAATAATAGTAGTAGTAATGACCAATATTCATAATAATAGTAGTAGTAGTAATGACCAATATCATTCATAATAGTAGAAGTAGTAATGACCAATATCATTCATAATAGTCGTAGTAATGACCAATATCATTCATAATAGTAGTAGTAGTAATAATGACCAATATCATTCATAATAGTAGTAGTAGTAATAATGACCAATGTCATTCATAATAGTAGTAGTAGTAGTAATGACCAATATTCATAATAGTCGTAGTAATGACCAATATTCATAATAGTAGTAGTAGTAATGACCAATATTCATAATAGTAGTAGTAGTAATGACCAATATCATTCATAATAATAATAGTAGTAGTAATGACCAATATTCATAATAGTAGTAGTAGTAGTAATGACCAATATCATTCATAATAATAGTAGTAGTAATGACCAAAATTCATAGTAGTAGTAGTAATGACCAATATCATTCATAATAATAGTAGTAGTAATGACCAATATCAATAATAGTAGTAGTAGTAATGACCAATATTCATAATAGTAGTAGTAATGACCAATGTAATTCACAATAGTAGTAGTAGTAGTAATGACCAATATCATTCATAATAGTAGTAGTAGTAATGACCAATATCGTTCATAATAGTAGTAGTAGTAATGACCAATATCGTTCATAATAGTAGTAGTAATGACCAATATTCATAATAGTAGTAGTAATGACCAATATTCATAATAGTAGTAGTAATGACCAATATCATTCATAATAGTAGTAGTAGTAATGACCAATATCATTCATAATAATAGTAGTAATGACCAATATCATTCATAATAGTAGTAGTAATGACCAATATTCATAATAGTAGTAGTAATGACCAATATTCATAGTAGTAGTAGTAATGACCAATATCATTCATAATAGTAGTAGTAGTAATGACCAATATCATTCATAATAATAGTAGTAATGACCAATATCATTCATAATAGTAGTAGTAGTAATGACCAATATCATTCATAATAATAGTAGTAGTAGTAATGACCAATATCATTCATAATAATAGTAGTAGTAATGACCAAAATTCATAGTAGTAGTAGTAATGACCAATATCATTCATAATAATAGTAGTAGTAATGACCAATATCAATAATAGTAGTAGTAGTAATGACCAATATTCATAATAGTAGTAGTAATGACCAATGTAATTCACAATAGTAGTAGTAATGACCAATATCATTCATAATAGTAGTAGTAGTAATGACCAATATCGTTCATAATAGTAGTAGTAGTAATGACCAATATCGTTCATAATAGTAGTAGTAATGACCAATATTCATAATAGTAGTAGTAATGACCAATATTCATAATAGTAGTAGTAATGACCAATATCATTCATAATAGTAGTAGTAGTAATGACCAATATCATTCATAATAATAGTAGTAATGACCAATATCATTCATAATAGTAGTAGTAATGACCAATATTCATAATAGTAGTAGTAATGACCAATATTCATAGTAGTAGTAGTAATGACCAATATCATTCATAATAGTAGTAGTAGTAATGACCAATATCATTCATAATAATAGTAGTAATGACCAATATCATTCATAATAGTAGTAGTAGTAATGACCAATATCATTCATAATAATAGTAGTAGTAGTAATGACCAATATCATTCATAATAGTAGTAGTAGTAATGACCAATATTCATAATAGTAGTAGTAGTAATGACCAATATCATTCATAATAGTAGTAGTAGTAATGACCAATATCATTCATAATAGTAGTAGTAGTAATGACCAATATCATTCATACTAGTAGTAGTAATGACCAATATTCATAATAGTAGTAGTAATGACCAATATCATTCATAATAGTAGTAGTAATGACCAATATCGTTCATAATAGTAGTAATAATGACCAATATCATTCATAATAGTAGTAGTAGTAATGACCAATATCATTCATAATAGTAGTAGTAATGACCAATATCATTCATAATAATAGTAGTAGTAATGACCAATATCATTCATAATAGTAGTAGTAATGACCAATATCATTCATAATAGAAGTAGTAGTAATGACCAATATCATTCATAATAGTAGTAGTAATGACCAATATCATTCATAATAGTAGTAGTAATGACCAATGTCATTCATAATAATAGTAGTAGTAATGACCAATATCATTCATAATAATAGTAGTAGTAATGACCAATATCATTCATAATAGTAGTAGTAATGACCAATATCATTCATAATAATAGTAGTAGTAATTACCAATGTCATTCATAATAGTAGTAGTAGTAATGACCAATGTCATTCATAATAATAGTAGTAGTAATGACCAATGTCATTCATAATAATACTAGTAGTAATTACCAATGTCATTCATAATAGTAGTAGTAGTAATGACCAATGTCATTCATAATAATAGTAGTAGTAATGACCAATGTAATTCATAATAGAAGTAGTAGTAGTAATGACCAATATCATTCATAATAGAAGTAGTAGTAGTAATGACCAATATCATTCATAATAATAGTAGTAGTAGTAATGACCAATGTCATTCATAATAATAGTAGTAGTAATGACCAATGTCATTCCTAATAATAGTAGTAGTAATGACCAATGTCATTCATAATAAAGGTTTGTTTTTTGGGTTAGACCGCGTGAATATAACTGTGTCGTTACCCCAACACCACCCGACGTAGCCAATCAGCAAGGTGTGTCACGTAAACAGCACGTGCCAATTGAGTTACCACTGCAGCACACCGGTTGTGTGTTGGAGAGTAAACCCACCACGACAATTACAATGATAGTGCAGTGTGTATAGTGTAGTGTATAGTGTAGTAATCTAGTACAACACTAACCGGTTGTGTGTTGGAGAATTAACCCACCACGACAATTACAATGATAGTGCAGTGTGTATAGTGTAGTGTATAGTGTAGTAATCTAGTACAACACTAACCGGTTGTGTGTTGGAGAATTAACCCACCACGACAATTACAATGATAGTGCAGTGTGTATAGTGTAGTGTATAGTGTAGTAATCTAGTACAACACTAACCGGTTGTGTGTTGGAAAGTAAACCCACCACGACAATTACAATCATAGTGCAGTGTGTATAGTGTAGTGTATAGTGTAGGAATCTAGTACAACACTAACCGGTTGTGTGTTGGAGAGTAAACCCACCACGACAATTACAATGATAGTGTAGTGTGTATAGTGTAGTGTATAGTGGAGTAATCTAGTACAACACTAACCGGTTGTGTGTTGGAGAGTAAACCCACCACGACAATTACAATGATAGTGCAGTGTGTATAGTGTAGTGTATAGTGTAGTAATCTAGTACAACACTAACCGGTTGTGTGTTGGAGAATTAACCCACCACGACAATTACAATGATAGTGTAGTGTGTATAGTGTAGTGTATAGTGAGTAATCTAGTACAACACTAACCGGTTGTGTGTTGGAGAGTAAACCCACCACGACAATTACAATGATAGTGTAGTGTGTATAGTGTAGTGTATAGTGTAGTAATCTAGTACAACACTAACCGGTTGTGTGTTGGAGAATTAACCCACCACGACAATTACAATGATAGTGCAGTGTGTATAGTGTAGTGTATAGTGTAGTAATCTAGTACAACACTAACCGGTTGTGTGTTGGAGAATTAACCCACCACGACAATTACAATGATAGTGCAGTGTGTATAGTGTAGTGTATAGTGGGGTAATCTAGTACAACACTAACCGGTTGTGTGTTGGAGAATTAACCCACCACGACAATTACAATGATAGTGCAGTGTGTATAGTGTAGTGTATAGTGGGGTAATCTAGTACAACACTAACCGGTTGTGTGTTGGAGAATTAACCCACCACGACAATTACAATGATAGTGTAGTGTGTATAGTGTAGTGTATAGTGAGTAATCTAGTACAACACTAACCGGTTGTGTGTTGGAGAGTAAACCCACCACGACAATTACAATGATAGTGTAGTGTGTATAGTGTAGTGTATAGTGTAGTAATCTAGTACAACACTAACCGGTTGTGTGTTGGAGAATTAACCCACCACGACAATTACAATGATAGTGCAGTGTGTATAGTGTAGTGTATAGTGTAGTAATCTAGTACAACACTAACCGGTTGTGTGTTGGAGAATTAACCCACCACGACAATTACAATGATAGTGTAGTGTGTATAGTGTAGTGTATAGTGGAGTAATCTAGTACAACACTAACCGGTTGTGTGTTGGAGAATTAACCCACCACGACAATTACAATGATAGTGCAGTGTGTATAGTGTAGTGTATAGTGGGGTAATCTAGTACAACACTAACCGGTTGTGTGTTGGAGAATTAACCCACCACGACAATTACAATGATAGTGCAGTGTGTATAGTGTAGTGTATAGTGGAGTAATCTAGTACAACACTAACCGGTTGTGTGTTGGAGAGTAAACCCACCACGACATTTGCAATTTGAGTGCCGTCGGCGTCTCGCCGGTGACTCCAACCAGCAGCTTCATCTTGCGATTGTGCCAGAGTTGTGATGAATGAGAGCCGCACTGTTGGACGTACGACCAAGTCACAACAACGCAGTTCAACCTGGCTTTGGGGGGGGGGGGGGGGGGGGGGACGGACGGTCGTTATTATTTCTTTACCAAACATTTAGAAAGTGAGAAAGACAACACGACACGTTTCGGTGAGTGTTGTTCTATAATCACGCGGCAATTGACATCTCCCCACCTCCGCCGCCGCTCGCCTCGCCCCACACGCGGAGCGCTGTTTCTGTGCCACCCCCTTTCAATCGGTGGCCGCCAGCTCGTTCAGCGATCGCTCTGCAGTCCAAGACAAAAAAGCAGGCGCTGGGGGGGGGGGAAATCCAAGCCCGGCTCACTCGAGGAGTTGCGGCCTCGTTCCAAATCCCGCATCGCTCTGTGTTTTTGTTGAGGTTTGTTTATATCTTGGTTTGGGTGGGTGTAAGGGGGGTCAGAGTAGAGGGTAGGGTAGGGAGTAGCGTACTGGGTAGGGGGTAGGGTATGGGGGTTGGGTAGGGTACTGGGTAGGGTAGGGGGTAGGGTTTGGGGGTTTGGTAGGGTACTGGGTAGGGTAGAGTATGGGGGTTGGGTAGGGTACTGGGTAGGGTAAGGTATGGGGGTTGGGTAGGGTACTGGGTAGGGTAGGGGGTAGGGTATGGGGGTTGGGTAGGGTACTGGGTAGGGAGTAGCGTACTGGGTAGGGTAGGGGGTAGGGTATGGGGGTTTCGTTAGGGGACTGGGTAGGGTAGGGTATGGGGGTTGGGTAGGGTAGAGGGTAGGGTAGGGAAGTAGGTTAACGGGGTGGGGTAGACGGATAGGGTAGGGGGTAGCGTATTCGAGGGTTGGGTCTTGCTTCTAAAGAGCCGTGTGCGCGCGTTCAACTGTGGATGAATAGAAAAGCGATAGACAAGAGAGATGAGATGAGGGAATTGGCCGTGAATTGAATTCGCATCATCCCGTGCGTGCGTGTCTTTGTGAACGAACATTTCTGTGTTGCGTGTGTGGTCGCAGCTTTGTGTATGGAGCAGTTCTCTCCCCTACGTGCGCATGATGACAGGAGCAGCGATGTGGTTCACCAGCCTCGATGCCAACATGGAGGGCTGCTCCTGGCCACGATGAGAGGGCTTCAGGGGAGACAGAGAGAGACAGAGAGAAAGAGAGAGAGACAGAGACAGTTCTTGATGTTTTGCTTTTCCTCCTTCGCTGATGGAACACAGACTACAGTTAAATTTTGATTTAAAGCTTTCGTGACTGCAGTAATTGTCTCTGTGCTTTATACAAGCACAGAGACAATTTCAACCGAGAAGATGGATTCTATCTTAGCAATCATTGGAAAGATTTGATAAACCATTTCAGGTCTTAATTGATTGTTCACGCTTACAGTGGCTTTCAAACAGCATACATTATAAAAAAATTCGTCTCCCCCCTCCTCTTTTCAGAATATAGATGGACTAGTCCTAAATAAACTGCCAAATCGTTGCGCGTGGCGCTAACGTTTTTTATAAATAAATAAATGCGCCGTTTACAAATAAATTTATGCAAACCAACACACCTGAAGACGACCGTTTGAGTTATGGTCGAAACGTCGTGATAATTTTTAATTGTTTTATATATTTTTTATTATTTTGTTGTTTCCTTTCAACGTGACTTTACCGAAAAAACTAAGAATACAGACTACAGTTGTTTACTGTGGTCGATATTTTGCGTTGTATGTTGAACGTCTTTCGTACGTCGCCAACCTTGCTAATCGTATGGCCACACTCCCACTCTGCATTGTCTTTCATGCATCCCTCTGTGCGTCTATGAGTCTCCATGTATCTCTAAGTGGTGTCTCCATGCGTCTCCATGTATCTCTGTGTGGTGTCTCCATGTATCTCTGTGTGGTGTCTCTATGAGTCTCAGAGTATCTCTGTGTGGTGTCTCTATGAGTCTCCATGTATCTCTGTTTGGAGTCTCTATGAGTCTCCATGTATCTCTGTGTGGAGTCTCTATGAGTCTCCGTGTGTCTCTGTGTGGAGTCTCTATGAGTCTCAGAGTATCTCTGTGTGGAGTCTCTATGAGTCTCAGAGTATCTCTGTGTGGTGTCTCTATGAGTCTCCATGTATCTCTGTGTGGAGTCTCTATGAGTCTCCATGTATCTCTGTGTGGAGTCTCTATTAGTCTCCATGTATCTCTGTGTGGTGTCTCTATGAGTCTCAGAGTATCTCTGTGTGGTGTCTCTATGAGTCTCCATGTATCTCTGTGTGGAGTCTCTATGAGTCTCCATGTATCTCTGTGTGGAGTCTCTATGAGTCTCAGAGTATCTCTGTGTGGTGTCTCTATGAGTCTCAGAGTATCTCTGTGTGGTGTCTCTATGAGTCTCAGAGTATATCTGTGTGGTGTCTCTATGAGTCTCCATGTGTCTCTGTGTAGAGTCTCTATGAGTCTCCATGTATCTCTGTGTGGAGTCTCTATGAGTCTCCATGTATCTCTGTGTGGAGTCTCTATGAGTCTCCATGTATCGCTGTGTGGTGTCTCTATGAGTCTCCATGTGTCTCTGTGTGGAGTCTCTATGAGTCTCAGAGTATCTCTGTGTGTTTGTGATATGGTCCGTAGTTTGGCTTGCATGGCCGCAGTCGTGCTCCTGTGGCTCGGAGCGGTTGGCGCAGTGGTTAGCGCACTGCGCTGGTCAACACGAAAGCGGCGACCGGAGTTCACGATTAGCGTCAGTGGCGAACATCTGTACCGGTTCTGCCCCCCTCCACCCCTGTACGTTGACTCGGCTGAGCCGTGGTGCAGCAAGCGACGCCTCTCTGTAGCGGGAGGTGAAGTTCGGGCGAAGGGAATCGGTGAACTGTCGCCTGCGTCACCAACCCCGACTCGTGCACTTTTCGTGCCCGTCCATCATGCTCGTCGTCGTCGTCATCATCATCATCATCTACCCTCCATAATTATCATTAGCATTATCATACATCCATCATCATCCTCCTCCTCCAGCATTATAAACCTCGTCCCTCATCCATCACCATCGTCATGATGCATATTCCTCCACTATCATCATCCACTATCATCATCGTCATCCACTATCATCATCCACTATCATCATCATCATTGTCGTAGGCCTCTGCCTTCATCACCTCCGATTAACACGGTTGGCTTTGCACGGTACAAAAGACGTTTAATATATATACATCCTCTATCCTCCATTATTTTTATTATCATCATCATCCTCCCTCCACGTCCTCCATTATCATCCACCTCCTCACTCTTCCCACCCTCAGCTACCGTCATCAGCCTTCGCCTCTCTCCCTCGCGTTTCCCCCCCCCCTCCCTCCCTTCGCCTGTCACTTTCGCGGCCCCTGCTACGTATCTCCCCCCCCCCCCACACTCCCCACCCCCCATCTCTCTCTAAGTCTCTTCTTATCTCTCCGTGTGTCTCTCTCCTCCCCTCTCCTCCTCGACACTCGCGCCTGAGCCTCCGCCGGCCCAATTAGCGAGCGCCTTCGCTGCACGGCGCGCGATGCGCATTAAGGAGGCATTAACATTCACATCCCGTGGCAAGAAATTGGTTTTTAATAAGCGGACTGCGTTTTCCACTGATATCTCCACGCCTCCCCCCCCCCCTTCCCATCGCTCAGTCAAATTGTATCAGGGCATCGGTCACCGCCTGCATCCGTCAGCGCTCGCCCCCCGCCAAACCTCGACGGGATAAACGCGCGGCGGTGGACCTCTGAAAGAGGAGACGGAACGCCACCACCCCCAGTAACAAACAATAAACTACACACACACGCGCGTAACATTTTATTTTATTTCTTTTGTTACCATAACCACATCGCTCTGCGTCAGTGCGGCAGTTTTCATGTGCACACGTATGGTATGGCTTGTGGATAGGCTTGCCATGCCATCCCCCATCCACCGCCCCCGTCATAGGAATGTGGAATTTGCACCACTGACTCAGAGCTGTAAACGGGAGACGAGCACCGATGCCTTCAATTCCCCATTGGAGCAGAGCAGACAAATCCACTTGGGCTCGACGTGTCTGGCACTGCGGTCGATCCACTGCTGGATGAGGGCCCCTCCACCCACGCACGTGACCGCACCGCATCCCACGCACGTGACCGCACCGCATCCCACGTGCTCCGCGTCGCTATTGTCCACATCGCCCCACGCGCTCCGCGGCGCGCGTGGCCTCTCACGTCGTCACCGCTGCGAGGCGGCCGAGTGAGGCGTCGCTACCTCGTCGTGACTGCGCGCCAGATGCATCCCAGAGCGTTGTCCGTCTGGTCCTCGATTAAAGGGGTTTCTCTTCACGCCTGCTCTCAAGCCGCCGCTGTTAGACCCAAAGCGTTGGGCGATTGCTGCTGTTGATGCTGCTGCTGATGCTGCTGCTGTTGATGCTGCTACTGCTGCTGTTGATGCTGCTGATGCTGCTGCTGTTGATGCTGCTGCTGTTGATGCTGCTACTGCTGCTGTTGATGCTGCTGTTGATGCTGCTGCTGATGCTGCTGCTGATGCTGCTGATGCTGCTGTTAATGCTGCTGCTGTTTATGCTGCTGCTGTTGATGCTGCTGTTGATGCTGCTGCTGCTGATGCTGCTGTTGATGCTGCTGCTGTTTATGCTGCTGCTGTTGATGCTGCTGTTGATGCTGCTGCTGTTGATGCTGCTGCTGTTGATGCTGCTGCTGTATATGCCGCTGCTGTTGATGCTGCTGTTGATGCTGCTGCTGTTGATGCTGCTGCTGTTGATGCTGCTGCTGATGCTGCTGTTGATGCTGCTGCTGTTGATGCTGTTGCGAATGCTGCTGCTGATGCTGCTTCTGCTGATGCTGCTGCTGATGCTGCTGTTGATGCTGATGCTGCTGTTGATGCTTGAAATGCTGCTGCTGCTGCGACTTCTGCTACGAATGCTGTTGTTGCTCCTGCTGATGCTGCTGCGAATGCTGCTGATGCTGTTGCTGCGATTGCTGCTGCTGATGCTGCTTACTGTTTAGAATGCTGCTGCTGTGGATGTTGCTACTGCTGCGGATGCTGCTGATGCTGCTGCTGCGAATGCTGTGTTGGCAGTGGTGTGCAACCACAAACAACAACGAGAAAAATGTGACACACATTCGTCAATATCACCAATAAATACAACAGGCGACAATTCGGGCAATGGTTCGCCCCTCTTCATATAGCACACAAAGAAGGCCCACGGCTCGAAACGTCGCGTAATAGTGTTGTTATTATAACCGTATATTGATTTCCTTGTAAAGCCTCAGTGATCCTGCCGGGCCAAAGCGATCCAAGCCGGTGGCTCTGCGTGTTACCGCGTCTGCGAGTCGCGGAGTCAAACATCGCCTAAGCGCATTGCTCGCTCCGCCTCGCC